GGCTACGGGGGCTCTATAGGGAGGGGGCAGGAGATAAAGGAGGCTGCTCCCAGACACGGGATGCGTCCTGGCTTGCCGAATTTCAGTCAGGTTTTTTCTCCTGACAGCTCAGGGGAAGCATCTGTTGAATAAATTGTGAAGGGATTGCCAGTCCTCCCAAGAAGTCTGCTTCAATTCTGGCGCTCTCAAAAAGCATCGTTGAGGAGACTCGAGCACGGTCTGGCTGCTCCTTCTCTCCCTGCAGCAGAACGTGGCAGTACCAATTAAAGGGATTCCTTTTCCAGCATCACAATTTAAAATGTAGGAAGAAACTAATGATAGAACTGCTAATTGTTTCCTACAGAAAGACCTGCCAAATCCACTATGCTATTTGTGCTGCAGCTTTCACGTTGCACTTCTTTCCATACATTAAAAAGAAGGGGGTTTTGGACATTAAAACAATTGCCAGGGCTAGTCTCAGCAGCATTCCTTTCACAGTAGGACAGCTGTACACAAAAATATTATTTACAGACATTTGTAATAAATCAGGCAGTTCTAAATGCGTCACCTCCATCCTGGCTATGAAAGCGAAGAGAGAAGAAAAAGTGCATTCACTCTTTTACCTTGCTTAGAGCTGTTTTTCTAAGGCAGGCCCACGTCTATGTGATGAAGTTCAAAATAGCTAATATTTGCATTTGCATGTCCCGATGCTGCAATAAATATACAAAAGAGATGACATAAAGTCTCATTTTCCCTTTCATTCCGGTGACATCTGACAATGGTAGGACTCATGAAGCTGCATGTGTCCCCGCTGCCCAACTTAGACAGCAGTCTGCTTGTGGCCTTTCGTACACGTTTGTGTTTTTCTGGGCCTGCAGAATGGAAACCTTATATTTTGTATTATTTTTCTAATTTCTTTGCTGTTGAGCTTTGAAGCCACAAGGAAGAAAAAAAACCCTGTTATTGACCAGTGACTTCGGTATCAGCGAGGCACAGGAAAAATCACCAGACAAACCCAATTTCTTCCAAAAGACAGATCCCCAGAAAAAGTGGTAGCTATGGCTTAAATCTATGTTTGCTTGCAAACAGAAATACAGTCAATTAGGAGGACCCAACACACCACTAGAAGCAGCTCCAGAAAACTGTAGGTGGGTCCGCTGTAGCTGAGCTAAACCAACTATGAAATGGAGTCAAAAGCTGTGTTTCCCAGCCTATGGCCTTGCCTTTTGATCCATGCAGCAGAATTATCACAAGCCAGACTAGGAGTACATTAAAATGAAATACTGCATGGCTGAGGAGCTTCCTTAATACTACTTGTTTTGTTTTGTTTTGTTTAATATTAATGTTGAATATGACTTGCCGCATAGGTAGTGATCAAAAGGCCTCATAGGTAGCAATATTTTTGTCTGAAAGTTTGGGAAACTAAGGTATAGAACAGTTGCATATTTTGTCCAAACTAGTGGCGGAATAAACTCCCAGTGGCTTTTCCCCATCACAGTATCATGCACTCTGGATTGTGGTTCCCCCCTTCAAAAAAGCTAAGTGGACTCCCATTGCGGGTTACCCAGATGGCCTCGTGGCTGGGCGATGCTTGGTCAATGCATTTTGAGAGCTGTTTTTCATATATGCAGTGCCCCTTCAAAGAGATTTTTTTTCAGAAGTCATTCTTTTGTAGGCTTGGGAGAGGAAAAAAGGACGGAACTAGATATCTTTTTCTTTTGTCTTTTAGATGGTCACCATGTGTGGGAAATGGAAGCCAAAACCGACAAAGAAATGTGCAAGCCAGTAAGTCTGCCTTAAATATTTTAACATCAAGATGAAAAATATATATTGCCTTCTCCAGCACTGTTACTAAAGAGGGATTTCCAAGCCTTTGGCACTGTGTCTCCCCACTGAAACAGAACAAGTACTTAGGCCTCCCCTCCTGGAAATCTTTCTTTAATGGGAGTGTGGGGTAAAAAGCCTTCATTGGAAGCTATCCCGAAAGTAGGAGAGACCATTTGGAAAATATTTTTTCATTGTCCAAGATGGGCCAGCCCCGTCTGCTCATCTTCTGTCTTGCTGGGTCAGTTCTCCCCTCTGCTCCCAAAGCAATTTTTGATCATTTTCCTTGGCTTTCGTCTACCGTGGCAGAAGAAATGTGAGTCCCCTCACAGGAGATCAGCCCCATGGTTGGAGTAGTGTGGCTCCCTCAGCCATGACTCTAAGTGGGAAATAAAGCCACGATTCCACCTCTGCAGGAATATGCAACAGTTTGTTAGCTGCAAACCTGCTGGAGACATGCAGGCAAACAATTTAAAGACCTCAGCTGAATGCAGGCCAAATGCTAAGACGAGCGTTCCCTTTTATTCCTTCAAAAAGTGCCAAGGGAGGTTTTGATGGTCATAGCAGATTTCACCGTGCATTTGTGTAAGCTGATGCCCTAGCAGCTAAGTCGTTCCTTAGCCCTGTGCTGGAGGATTTGGTTGCTGACAGTGGCAGATCATCTACACACTCTCTAGCCCTTCTTCCTGTAGCACTAGAGCTCCCATTCGCAGAAACTAGCATGCTTAAAACTGTTTGAGTTGTTATATGAAAAAACATTTCACTCTGGAAAACAGAAATATTTAAATTATCATATGCCTATCCTAATTCTCCTTTGAAAGGAATTTGTGTTAGGGTGAGATATACTGGGGATGAGCTGCCAGCCGAGTGGTGTGCTTTTTCCCGCTGAGTTATAGACCACGATTTGATTGTGGTCACAGATTCTTGTCAGGGGCAGGAGGGATAGAGCCTTGTCCATATGCAGTATCATATTTGCTGTCCAAAGGGAAGAGGTGAAGCCTAGTGATTCTGTAAAGACCTGAGCTGTGCTAAAATCTTATTTCCCTACTTCTGGAGTCCTTGGCATGGAGGACACTGGGGGTGGTGGGAGGCCATCCCTGCCCACGAAGCCCACCAGTTCCCCTGCAGAGAGTGTGTTCCTCCTTGTGAGCCTGGGCACCTTGTTCTCGGGATTAACATGTGAATACTATTGTACAGCTCGACTGCCTTAGTCATGCCTTGACTTTCTGATTTGTTGTTTTTGCAGAATTCGTTGGTGGTTGAGATACCACCTTTCCGCAATCAGAGAATTACCAGCCCTGTTCAGGTCAACTTCTATGTCTGCAATGGAAAGAGAAAGAGGAGCCAGTACCAGCTTTTCACCTATCTTCCTGCTAATGGTAACAAAATATATTCCTTACCTCTGCTAGTAAAAATGAGAGATAGTGATGATTACTTAGAAAGATACATGGCTTTGATAGTTATTTAGTAACCTGAGTAATTTGGAGGTATACCTGGTGTCATAAAATGAGAGTGAGGATCAAACCATGAGAGCTGCCTTTCTCTCTGCAGGGACCTTCTCTGCAGATTATTTCCTTTTGTATTGGTGGCAGAGACCTGTTGGAACAAGGACTTTTTCTGCTTTTGGGAGCTGAAGAGCCCCAATACAAACTTACTTGTGTAGCCACAAATTGTGAATGCACTGAGCTCTCTGCTAGGTTGCTGTCAACCTTCAGTCTGACTTTGTGGTCCAGAGGGTACATTGCATTTGAATAATACTTCTGAATTTGCACCACACCATTGTAACCGTGCTGGGCTCTGAGCTGGAGGTGGTGTGGGGATTCTCCTTCTAGTCATCCTGCACCTCACTGTCTTGTGAGGGGTGAAAATAGCACTCCAAGCTGATGCCACTCTTGGGTAGCCATGAAAAGCACAATGTGGATGGAGATCAGAGTGCTCCATACAAAATGCTTCATAATAGGAAATGTTCAGAAACACATGTGCCAATTTATTTTGGAAGCTTATATTGGTGGCTGTGAAGTGACAATAAAGTATTCATGCTAGCTGAATTCCAAGCAGGCTTGTATGAAGATTTTAATAGCAAGTAAATTTAGATTTTTTTTTTTAATTTGAAATGGCTCTTCTGAGAACACTTTTTTGGGGAAAGTAGGAAAAAAGGGTGGTTGTTTTGTTGTTACTGTTTTGGAAGGAAGAGGAATTAGAAAAATTATTAGGTTCATGCTTTTTTGTAGACTTTCTAAGTGAAAATAGTCTTTCTGAAGGAAATTCCCACAAAGCAATACTTGAGTCATGTCACATGACTTGAAGAGACCTGTCAACTCCTTCCAGGTGAAATCCCAGAAAATACACATTTGGAATTTCACCTAGTTAGCTGGCAAGCACTGCAGACTTTTATCAGCACTTTAATTTAAAATAAAAGTACAGGAAGCCTAACATGGGCAACTGCTCATTGTATATGTGCTGCATAGCTATGCTTCACTGAATCAGCCTACTTATGCAAACTTCATCCCCAGTGGGTGTGTCTGTGTATATTTAAAGACTGTTCATCTCTTAAATTGGAAAGAAAAAGAGTTGTTATTCTCTTGCACAACACTTCTCAGCAACAAAAATCTGTTGCAGAGGCCAACAGGTATTGCCTTGCCACCCAAGTTACCCTCATAATTATTTCAAATACATGCCTGTTGTTAACTGCTGTTTATTAAGCAGCATCTTTCCTCTCTAGCCTTTACATTTTTTACCATTGTGAATAGTACTCACTGCTGCAACATTGGTTTATGTTACCACCGTTCTGAGTTTGAAACATACGATGTTTCATTTGATGTGAAGCGATGGGAATAGCTACCTAGTGACAGGCAACAGAGAACCAGCCTAGGCTTTATTCTGCAAAGACATCTTTAATTATGGTAATTGTTGAAAACATTGGGAATCTTGTTTAGTCTGCTGTACTGATTTAAATTCCTGTGAAA